GACCCATACTAGGCAGCCCCGTTTACACCCAACCCATATCTCTCGTATACCTGTCCAAACTATATTTGAAGCTTCCCAGCGTGGTGTTTGGTAACTTGTTTCACTCATCCACTACTATATTTCCAAACCATTGTTTACCTATCTCACGCCTAAATCTAAATTTGTTTAATTTAAATCCATTGCAATATGTTTGCTCCTAGTTAGATACTTAAGTACCTTTGTTGTGTCACCTTTGTTAACTTCCATGTATGCACCTCGATTATATTGTCCCTCACTCTACGTCTCTGGAGGGAGTGCAAATTCAGATGCTTTTATCTGTCTCCCTACTCAAGATTCCTAAGGCACAGGATTAGCCTTGTCATCCTCCTCTGAATACTTTATCGGGATTTGACATCCATTCAGTAGTATAGTGGCCAAAACTGAACAGCATAATCCAAGTGAGGCCTCACATATGTAAAATAAGGTTTAAAGATAACCTAGCTGGTCTTGTAGCTTACACTCTTTTGTATGAACCCAAGTAGCTTGTTAGCCTTGTTTCAAGCACATACACATTGCTGTTTTATGGTTCCTACTTATCATTACCCCTAAATCTATCTCACAGTCAGATTTCTCTGCGTCAACGTTGTTCGTCTGATATCTGGTTTCCCAATTTACATCTCCTTGGCTAAATACTTTACATTTTTCTACATTAAATTTCATCTGCCATTTTTCAGACAATGAAAAAAGTTTGTATAAATCTTCCTTTAATTTTTAGTTGTCCTCGTCAGATTATATTTCACACCTTATTTTAGTGTTGTCAGCAAATTTTACATGCGAGGTGTGATCCAAAAGTTCCGGACTGGCTTCATAAAGTCTTTAATTTTCAAGAAATTACAGTGAAACTTTAGTCACCCTCAAAGCATTCTCCAGAGGTCTCAATGCAGTGCTGAATCTGCTCCTCCCACTTCTAGAAACAGATCTGGAAGTCCTTGTTGGTGAGACTCGAGAGCACCTTCTGCTATGTGTCCTGGATCTCCATTCTGTCCATGAACTTCTTCCCCAGATCAAGAGCACAGCAGGTGAGGAATCACTGGCTAATGCTGTGCTTCGCCAGAAAATCATTTACAGAGAGGGCAGTGTGCACAGGTGCGTTGTCCTGGTGAAGCAGCCAATTGCCAGTTGTCAGTCAGAATTCAGTTAAAATTTTCTTATGAGATCCAATCACTCGGCAATCTCACGGATGATCACCCTATGAATCTCTTGAATAAGCTGGTAATTTTTCTGGACATTTTCATCATTTCTCTCATTGGAAGGCAGCCCAGAATGATGCTCATTTTCAAAGGAGGTGAACCCTTCTCTGAAGTGCTTGTGCCACCAGAAAACTTGAGCCCTGGGCATTGCATCAACTTTGTATGCTTCCTTGGTCATATCATGGTTTTCTGCACCATTTTTTCCTAGTCTGAAGCAAAATCTGATGGTGCAGCATTGCTCAATACTTCCCTCCATGTTTGGGGTTGAATGAGGACTGACTTGGCGTAGCAGATGGGCCGGTTACACACACTCGCACAAGGCTGCACTACTGCCGGTTGGCTGACCGATTCTCACCAAATCGAAGTAGTAAAGAACTTATAACCAAGGTGAGTAATTGCTAATGATTCATTTCGATATCTGCTAAGAGAAAGGTTGTATGAAGCTAGTCTGGGAAATTTTGGATCACACCTCATATGTTGCTGTTTATGACTAAATCTGTGTCATGAATTTTTTTATAAGCTCTTATTTCATCCATGTATTAAACAGTATGGGTACTATTTATATAAATTCTAAACATTGTGAATACATTGACAGATTTTTGTTACATGATGTGTTTCACCCAGTCTTGCTGTTGAGTGAGAATGATTTATCAGTGGCATGGGTCCTACTGATCCGACAGTTGTCATTGAACCAGACACCCACTCTTCACATTGTTAACCAATAATGTAACTTAAACAACGGGGTGAGGCCCCGCCTCCTTCACCTTTGTTCTACACAATGTAATTTGATATATCGTAATCTTGGAATGTAAATATGAGTATGATTCCTTTTGCCTTGAAATCAATTGTGATTCCTTGGTTTCCCAACACAATGGAATCAATTACAATTCCTCAAAAATGTGGAATCGATTCCAAAGGTTTGATTCCTGATTATGATTACAACATGTCTGGGTCTGATGTGTTTGTTTTAAATTTAATCCTAAAGTGAGGTCAGCTAGGGTCAACCTTCTTGCGTGCTAAGCTATGGTCTCACTAAATTTTTCCGTTCAATAAATCCACTATAGCACTTCATCTACAGGCAATAAGTCAACCTTACGATCCTCACACTGGTGAAAGGAACCATCGGCGAGGTGCCCAGCTCTCAGGGCTAGTTTGAGCTCATTTGGAGAGCAGGATGGCTTCATTGTGTGTTTCTTTGGCAGCATTAACTGCTTTCGTGAGATGTGTGGTCCTGTTAAAGAAGACCAAGACAAAAAGAAACGATTGTGGGTAGCAGTAGCCATCACAGAAATTTTGTGTGCGTTTGTAGCGTCAAAGCGATGTTTGTTTACAAAAGTGATGCAAGTACTCTAGAGTCAAATGAAATTCCCGTCATGCTGTATTCTTATTATTTTTTATTTACTATGACAGTTTTGCTCATGGTTTGTTATTGAAATACACTTTCTCTATTTTTTATACATTTTAACATTAATAAGAGAAAATAAGAACGGTGTAATTTGTACAGTATTAATATAATACTCTATAGCAAATTTCAACCATGGATTTTCAGATGCTCCGTATCGTGCCACTTTTGACAACAAATGAGTTATTGCTGTAGAGACATCTTGAGGAGTTCATTAAAAAATCAATGCTATGGTGGGTTTATTCTGGGTACAAGCTCTAGTATGACTGCAGCTTTAGCAACACTTGTCAAGTCAGGTCAACAGCAGTCCCCTCCTCTGAGATGTGACAGCTAGTAAAGTTAGGGTCAACCTGCTTCCAGTCACAAGAGGGTTGACACATTTATGTTGTTAATGTAATGGTTGGACAGTTCCACACAGTCATAAGTCACTGGGCCATCAAGTTGCCGGCACAAGCGAAATCAACGTCATCTCCACCTGCTACCCTCAGCCTGTCAGTTCATATATAATAGGGCAGTTCCAGCAAGTCAAATTAGTTTTAGGAGACACATTAATATTGTGTGAATTTGTAGATTTCCTTTACTTTAAGACATTAGATTATAAGATAAGAAACAATCAAACTAATTCTGTAAATACTGTAATCATTATAATGTCTAAAACGATGTAAAGATGTGTTTGTGGTGTAGATGGGTGGGTGTTTGTGGTGTAAGTGGGTGTGTGGTGTAGGTGGGTGGGTATTTGTGGTGGAAGTGGGTGTGTGGTGTAGATGGGTGTGTATGGTATAGGTGGATATGTTTGTAGAGTGGGTGGGTATTTTTTTGGTGTAGGTAGGTGTGTTTGTGATGTAGGTAGATGGGTGTGTGCGGTGTAGGTGGGTATGTTTGTGGTGTAGGTGGATATGTTTGTGGTATAGGTGGATATGTGTTTGTGGTGTAGGTGGATATGTGTTGTGTAAGTGGTGGATGTGTGTGTGTGTGGGTGTGTTTGTGTGTATAGAAGGTATCAATACTTCCGAGTTAGCCCGACTGCAAACCAAGGCAGACAGGCGCCAGCGTGGGAAAGCTGCTGCCGCCGCCCCTCCTGCACTAAATGTTGCCCTCCAAATGTGCAACATCTGTGAACGGCTCTGCTGGTCCCATATCGGCCACTCGAGTTACCTCAGAGTTCACCAACGAAGGTGACACCCTGAAAAACCTATATCATTGTATCACACCTGGAAGATCATCATACTCAATTCCGAGTGATAGCATAGTAGTAACAACAGTAGTGTGTGGTGTAGGTGGATATGTGTGTGTGTGTGGTGTAGGTGGATATGTGTGTGTGTGTGGTGTAGGTGGATATGTGTGTGTGTGTGTGGTGTAGGTGGATATGTGTGTGTGTGTGGTGTGGGTGGTGTGTGTGTGTGTGTGTGTGGTGTGGGTATGTGTGTGTGTGTGTGTGTGTGGTGTGGTGTGTGTGTATATGTGTGTGTGTGGTGTGGTGGTGGATGTGTGTGTGTGTGTGTGGTAGGTGGATATGTGTGTGTGTGTGGTGTGGGTGATATGTGTGTGTGTGTGTGTGTGTGTGTGTGTGTGTGTGGTATGTGTGTGTGTGTGTGGTGTAGGAGGGTGTGTGTGTGGTGTAGGTGGGTGTGTGTGTGTGTAGGTGATGGATATGTGTAAGTGGGTGCATGTGTGTGTGGTGAGGATAAAAAAGGCACAAAACTTCATAAATCAGGTACTGTACAGTATAGTACATTTTATTTCATGTAAATCCCTAACACAATTGAGTTTATAAATAGTATATGAATAAATGCCTACCTTGAACAGTTCTTAGCATTAGAGATTTTTTATTTATTTATTTATTTATTTTTTTTTTTTATGGGAATTAGCCCACCGGGCACAGGTCAAGCGACCCAACGGGGCCTGGGGGGAAAGAACAGAATGAAATTTAAAATAAAGAAGAAAAAGGTTATACAGTACAGAGTTAATCTACACCACGAAGATGCCGGAAAACCAGCTTTTTAAAGTGAGACAGATTGTATAAGTATGGAAACACAGAAGAAGGCAGAGCATTCCACAGTTTGGCTGTTTGAGGAAAGAAGGAGGTACTATAAAGGGTTATTCTCGTGTGACCGACATCCACAGAGAAACGGTGGGCACCGCAGGCAAGACGTGTGTTACGAGCCCACGGCCTTGCCGGCGGTACACAGGATGCCAAATCCACTGAACATTGCCTGTTAAAGTACCTGTAAAAGAGAGAGAGTGAAGCAACGTTGCGATGAAGAGAAAGAGAAGAGAGATTGTCGACTAAAGGAGGAAAGTTAATAAGACGAAATGCCTTTGATTCCACCCTATCTAATAGTTGGACAGAAGAAGATCCAACCCAGATATGAGAGCAGGACTCCAAGTTAGGACGAATGAATCCCTTATATACTTGGAGCAACTGCTCAGGAGTGAAGTAGCTACGGCATCTGTACAGCATTCCCAACTTTGCAATCTATGTCATCCCAGTTTTAATCTGCCTAAATATTCAGAATAATTATAAGGGTTGATTTAGAGGAAGAGTCCGGTTGTTCATATTGTATATTCCAATGGTTTGATCCCATGCACAATCTGCCATTACACTCTCTTGATGGTTTGAAAAGTCCAAGCCATAAACAAATTCAGTATGACTCTCCATTACTTCTAAGCATGGAGAAGGTACTGAGTGGTCCCAAAGTCTGAAATGTACAAGATTAGTGTAAATGCTATCATGTGAAAAACATTTTGGCTCACAATATATGCAGCAAATAGCTTCTTATATACATATAAGTACAGTACAGGTAAACCTCGATAAATGATGTCTCGTTCAGCGATATTCCACTTTTATGATGGTCATGAATTAAGACAATCTCGCTATGTACAATAAAAAAAATTTGCTTAAGCAATTTTTTATTTATTTTCATTTTATTTATTTTATTTTTTTGCAAACTATGGGTTGTATGTACTCAAATTAATTGCTGTCTTGCAAGGATTCCAGCAATGCAAATTATTATTTTTTTCATCAAGCCACTGACATTTTATAAGGAATCAATATTTAACCGTATGCACCACCATAGGGAGCCGATGCATGCCCAGTGCTTGCCAACAGTGCATAACAGAGAAGTGACCGATCGCCCAAGCAGCTAAGGAGCCGATCAGTGGTGAAGAGGATAAAAGAAAAAGATAGGTAATGCATCTCTGGCTGTCAGCTGCAGTAATATCTACCCCTGCGCTGCCAAGTAGCCAACCCGTGCACTACAGTCCTGAGCTTGGTTCTTTGCCAGCCGCATCTCCCCACCATCATGTAGCTCCACAATTATCGTTCAGCATCGTTGGCTGTATGTACAATCAAAGACAAAAGTCGTGTCGCGGTTTTGTCCGAAGATTAAATATAACTCGTGAAATATTATGAGAGCCCCTACCACAAGGCAGAGCGCGCCAAAAGTTTAGCCCTTCGGCATATGTTTTCACCAAATTTCACGACATGACTGTTGTCTTTCATTGTACTGTACATTGTACTTATCCATTCTTTTTTCTTCTTTTTTTAATAGTAAGAGGACAGCACTGACATTTAGATTGAACTGTGTTATGGTGAGTGAAGTGATTTTTTTTTTTTTTGTGACTAAAGTGCTTTGTCTTTGCTGTTGTGAAATGATGTGAGCAGTATCAGCTGCTATCATTGTTTTTACATTATCATCATTCACTCTGTTTTTGTGATAATTGCTTTTGCTCTTTTTCTGTGACTATGAAGTAAGCAGAGTAACATTGAAAATGTCTGGGAAGGTCAAGACAACCACATCTCTGAGGTGAAGCTTAACATTGTGAAGCAACATGAGACTCCCCACAGGCTGTGTGGGAGTCAGAGTGACGTTTCCACACCACCTACAAGAGTCTCCTTAGCCTCGAAAAGGACATGTGATGATGACCAAGCTTATTCTTCATGATGTGGTGAGTGTTGTTTAATTGTTTTCTATTGAATTTATAAGTCGGGATATTTTTGTCGGTAATACATGTATGTTTGGGGATTTGGCTGAGAATGCATCCCATTGAACTTCAAGTTATAATGCTCCCTATCTACAATTTTTTTTTTTTTTTAAGGGGAATAGCCCACCTGGCATAGGTCATCAACCCACAACAGGGCCTTGGGGGCGAAAAGATAAGAGTAAAAAGAAATTAAAAATAAAAAAGAAAAAGATTATATTAATCTATACACCACAAAGATGCTGGAAAACCATCTTTTTGAAGTGAGACAGATCATATAAGTGTAGAAACACAGAAGAAGGCACAGCATTCCACAATTTGGCTGTACTATAATGGGTTATTCTAGTGTGACCGACATCCATAAAGAAACGGTGGGCACCGCAGGCAAGACGAGTGTTATGAGCCCACGGCCTTGCCGGCGGTACACAGGATGCCAAATCCATCGAACATTGCCCATTAAAGTATCTGTAAAAGAGAGAGTGAAGCAACATTGCGGCAAAGAGAGATTATCAACTAAAGGAAGAGAGCTAATAAGGCAAAATGCCTTTGATTCCACCCTATCTAACAGTTGGACAGAAGAAGAGCCACCCCAGATATGAGAGCAGTAGTCCAAGTCAGGATGAATGAATGATTTATAAACTTGAAGCAACTGCTCAAGAATGAAGTAGCTACAGCATCTGTACAGCATTCCCAGCTTTTGGGAGGCAGCTTTAACGTTGGTTTTTCAGGAATCTAACTTCATCGTGTATTGAGGTTCACTTGTATAAATAAGACCATGTTATATCACAGCAATGTGTCCTGATAAGTCCTTTAGTATAAATGACTGTATATATTCTTAGACCGAATATCTGTGGCAATCTAGACAGTGAAATCTATATGGAAATTGAGATAGTGGTTCATGGCTGATACCATACTCAAAAGTAATTGTAGGTCAAATATATCATCACTATGGTACCAGACCTGTTAATGTTGCTGTAATGTTTTACATACCATGCATGATCAGTGGTAAGTATGGTGGACATCACCTTAGAGTCCAGATTCTCAAACGTTTGGCCAAATAATATTCCATGTAAATTAGGACCACAAAGATGCAAATATAGAATTTTTAAAAATGAGAGAATACCTCGCAAACATAAAGCACTCATGACCAATTTATACTGAAATATAATTTAATCAAGTCTATAAGTACACTATACCTTGTTGTGAAATCATAAGATACAGATGCCAACTGAGTCTCATTGAAAGGAGAAAACTTCACTCTACGCACTGGATATCCATGCCCCTGAAATAATAATTGGAATTAATACAAACTAATTAGCTATGTACTGTACTACAGTAATCTACCAATTAGGTGGAATCCCCAGTCCCCGGAACTGTCCAATAGCCGGAATTGAAATAGGCCTGGAATTTTTCTCAATTCCGGGTCTGCAAACAAATGTTCTGGGAGTTCCGAGAAATTGCATCATACTCCGCTGCATCACCATGTGCCAGCCACATGGGTGGGAAAACCACTTGGGATAACTTGGCTCATGTGCTACAATTGTCAAATACTGTACAGGTACTGTCTTGTAACTGCTCTGCCTCTAAGCCTAGCATCATCACACAATTAGTTCATAGTCCATTGCTGTTTTTGTGTAAATTTGCATTCTGCAGTACCTGTACTTAAAAAGCTCCAGGAAACACTGCACAGGAGAGATGAAATGGAAATTCACAAAATCTGGAGTCACCCATCCTATACTGTAGTCTGGTTTAACAAAGGTTTACTGCCCTCAAAATGACCTTCTAATTAATAAACAGAAATACTTACAGTAAGAACAAAAACAGGATGTCTGGGTTGTCTCAGATCCCAACCAAGGATTCGGGCATCTGTGCCTGCCGTGGCAATAATATTTTGGTTGTACTTGCACCAATCACAGCTGAGAGCTTCTCCATCTACAGCGTGTATTGTCATTGATGGTCCAGATTCCTTAGTTGTATTCCACATTCTTAATGTTCCATCACCTAAAAATATTCAGGAATTAATATTTGGTTATGAAATGATAGATTTCGGCACAAAGAAATCCTTTTTGGGCAGGGGATTAATTAAGTGAGTTATGAAAAACTACCATGAAGCACCTAGAGACAGAGCCTGCCATCACACAGGGAACCTAAAGTGCTCTGGAGAAGGCAGAAGATGTAACAAACTTCTTACCCAGTCAAATCCAGACTATCTCAAGGGTCAGTATGCCTTCAGGTTAAAACAAAAAAATTGACTCACGGGGTTAACTACAGTTGAGAACCCCTTAATTACATGGACCAAGACTCAATCCTTCTCAGTTCCTTGTCACTTTAATTCCCTGCTCCTTTGGAAAGGGAGCAAATCCATGGGATTTTGTTTAAATTTATGGTCCAGAGGTGACCTGGATGATCTAAACCAGCTAAAAGAATGGTTTAAGGTCCTAAATGCATCCCAGATTAGAAATGCATGTCCCCATTAAGGTAAAGACAATATTGTACAGTATTTGTAATTCTCGTCTCACATTTATATACCAGCTTACCATCCCAGATTAGAAAGCATTTCCTCATTAACATAAAGACTAAAAAGTACAGTGTATTTTGATTTATCATTTCATCACTTATCGCTTATTAGACATTCAGGAAGTTGGTCTATTCTTTGTTACTTTGTTATGACCTTTATTGTGCATGTTAGTACAAAAGAAGACCAGAGTACACAGAGAAAACCTGCATTGTTTGGTAGTGTCACACTAGATAATACCCTTCTCACATCTGTTCAGGGATGGGGGATTGAACCCAGGACACTTAGTGAGAGATGCACATGTTACCCCAATACAGTACAGTAAAGTCTCGAATAACGACGGTAATGTGTCTTCCAATATTGCAGTGTAAGGTGAATCATCGTATTGCGAATCATTAATTACCATTAAAATAAAGCAATAATAATGAGATGTGTTCCCAAGTGTGACCTTTTCATATCTTTTGTGTGGCTTTTTACCCTCTTTTCCCCCCCAAAACAATACAATTAATGAAAATTGCAAACTATATTCTTTAAATAATGTTTCTGAATGCACCTTATACAATATAAATGAATAATAATATGGTCACACAAGAGGAGAAGGGACGCCATTGTTTTCATTTGTGTTTACAGCCGGGAGTCCGGGACGATAGTTCGACACGAGAAAATTAAGAAAATAAGACCCTGGTTGTAGCTGTACTAAAATTACCGGGTAATGTAAAAAAATTAATATACCCGTATATGTTTTAAGTAACATTATTTAATGTTAATAAATGGAACAATAGAAGTAGCTAACCACTAATGATAAAGAAAAAAAAATAGAGATGGATTAGGAACGCCAACATATATGTTTGCATTTAAGGATACCGCCTCATTTATCTTTTCAAGAATATGTACAAAAGATTCATTATTGTTTATTACTGAATATGTATTTGATTGAATTAATCTTTATACACACAAAATGAACAATACAATTCATTAATAATACATAGAATATTAAAACACACAAGAGGATAAGAGACGGCATTGTTGTCAGTGTTTACACTCATAATGTCAGTTTTCCACCTGAAACTGAAGAAAATAAAACCCTGGTTTTTGTTGCAGTAAAATTAATGTAAAAAATATGTACGTTTTAATTAATGTTATATGATGTACAGTAGAAGTAACCGCTGATATTAAAGAAAAACGTGAGACTGATAGTGGAACGCCAATATATATGTGCGCACTCAAGGAAACATAGTCATTTATCTTAAGAATATGTACAAAAGATTCATTATTGTTTATTACTGAATATGTATTTAATTGAATTAATGTTTATATATGTGAATGAACAATGCAATTCATTAATAATACGTAGAATATTAAAATACAAACGAGGAGACAAGACGGCATTGTTTTCGTTAGTGAAGATGGTTCTGCATAAGAAACTGAAGAAAATAAAACCCTGGTTGTAGCTGTAGTGAACTTAATTTTAAAAAATTGAATACCTGTGTATGTATGTATGTTTTAAGTAATGTTATTTAATGTTAATAAATAGAACACTAGAAGTAGCTAACCACTAATGGTAAATAAATAAAGCGATATGATTGGGAACGCCAATGTATGAACAGTAAGTGCGTACATGTGAAAACATATCGTCATTTCTCTACATATGAATATGAAAGCAACACTTATATACCGTTCATATATGTTTTAAATAATATTTACGAATGTAAAACAAAATTTTTACTCATTAATGGTGGTAAAGTCTAAAACATAAGGACAGCCAATGATTATTGTGCAAGTTTTTACTCAGATGACGAAGTCATCAGGTTCAACTCTGGCTGAAGCCGTAGCTTTTCATAAAGCTGTTGCTGAAACTGTTACTGAACCTGAAGTTGGTGTTGAAGCTGCTTATGATGCTGAAGTTGATGGTTTAGGCCTTCGAATAATAAAGCTGTCAAAAGAACCTTGCACAGCTGCTTTCTTTTCTCACTATGTATACATCTTTATGTAGAGGTCATTTGCATTTATTTAAATTTTAATGCTTTGTTGTGTTAATGGATCCACTTCATAAATTATGTTCATTGCTTGCTCCATATAATATCCACAGACCTCTCACCTTTTTCATATCATTTTAACACATTTAGTTTCTCGGCTAAGCTTATACACTTTCTATTAGCTTTTGAAACAACACTACCATCACTTGCTCTCTGGCTCATGTTGAATAGGGATGCAAAAATGCTGTAAGAAACCTGAGAAAGTTTTTCTCCTGTTCCTGTTCAGATGCATGAAAACAAATGGATGGCCAAGCTCCGACTGTTGTTTACTGGCAATGCGCATTACCACTCATTAGCCAGGCAGTTTCTTTGAGCAAGACACTCTTCATTTTTTACAGTACAGTGGTCCCTCGGTTAACAAACGCCTCGGTTAACGAATTACCTTCCATAAGAATCTTCAATTTGGTTAACGAAAAAAATTTTATTAACGAAATCCTTACGAAAATCACATTTTGTTTTGAACATCAGCTGATAAGTTGAGGAGGTACTCAGCCAATTCAGTGATCTTTTCTATGTTTACATTCAAACTAATCACTATCTTATAAGAATTCCAGCAATGTAAATTAAATTCACCCCAGTCACTTCTATTAAATTTTATAAGCAAAAAACAAAACTCAATCTAAAAGAAAAAAATAAATTTACAATTAAATACTTCACACCACAGGCACCAACTGTCAAACATGTCACTGTCACCCACCCCTCCCTCCCTACCCCCCCACCCCCCCACCTTCCTGAGAAACATTTGGGTAAAAAGACTAGGTTTATAGGTTTAAAAATAAATAATACCTCAGACTAAAGTTAGGATAATATAATTTGCATTGCTGAAATCCTTGCAAGACAGGGAATATTTTGAATATAAACTTCATATATTTTGCACAAAAGATAAAATTTTTGCTCTCCCTAATAAAATTCTTAAATTAGATGTAAAATTTGTATGTCTAATGCAAATTATAGCTTGTTTATATTCAGATTAATCACTATCTTATAAGAATTCCAGCAATGTAAATTATATTCTGGCTTTATTTTGTAGGTATGCTATAACGAACGGATCCTATAATGAACGGTTTTACCTATAAAATTGAGAATGCTATAACGAACGCAACTCCTACAACGAACGGTTTTACCTATAAAATTGAGAATGCTATAACGAACGCAACTCCTACAACGATCGCGGATAAATACGGGACTATTTAGTCTGGCGCATGAATATTACTTTTACTTTTTTTACTTTTATCCTCTTCGCCACTGATCGGCTTGTTAGCCGCTTGGGCGATCGGTCACGTCTCTTTTCCTTTATATTCTTCACCAAAAGGTCGGCTCGCTAGCCGCCCGGGCGATCGGTCACGTCTCTGTCACGCACTGTTGGCAAATACTGGGCATGCACCGGCTCCTGAATGTACCTGAACCCGCTCCAGTGTTGGTCAAGTCTTCTCTTGAAAGAGCTCACACTCGGTGCCGTCACAACACTCTCTGGTAGATTGTTCCAAGAGTTTACAACCCTCACTCCGAAAAAGTTTGCTCTCACGGTTTTCTGGACTTGCGGCTTCTTCAATCTTGAGCTTGTGACCCCTTGTTGTACAGCGGCTCACAACAAGAGCGTCAGGCGCCATCTTTGTCTCATTGTGTAGCCAGTGCACCACTGTTATTGTTGAAATTTCGTCTTTTGATGTGGAAATTCGTGTTATTTGTATAACTATTTTGTTATATAAGTATATAATTGTAACAATGAATCGTCCAAAGCGAGTGAGAAACCTAATAACCCTTGAAACTAAGAAAAAAATCATAAAGAAACGTGAGAATGGAACAAGCATTGCGAAACTTAGTGATGAATATGGGCTGGCTAAATCGACTACGTATATGTACGATTTTGAAGAATAAAGAGGAGTTAAAAACTGTGCAAGTGGCTAAGAAAATTTACTCTTAGTGTGGATAAAGGAGAAAGAAATGGCAGGTGATAGCATTAGTGAAGCTATAATTTGTGAGAAGGCCAAACAATTGTTTGAGGACCTTAAAGCCAAGACTCCCAGTGGAAGTGATAGTGATGTGCCAGTGTTTAGGGGTACCTGCATGCTGAACAACACTAAGGTAAGATAAAGTACCGTATTTTTTACATTTTCCACAGAAAATTTTCAGTGTTAAGTGGTTGTATTTGGGGGCCTGGGACAGATTAATCCTATAACGAACGAGGTTCTAGAACCAATTAGATTCGTTATAGCATACCCCACTGTATATACTTTTCTGTGAGCTGGAACCAATTACCCAATATTCCATTGAAACAATGGTCTCGGTTCGGTTAACGAATGGAACGAATTGTGTTGTTAACTGAGGGACCACTGTAATTTATTTATTTTTTTATTTTTTTATTTTTTTTTTTTTTTATAATACATATTGGGATTTAGTTATTATTTATATGAAAATATAATTTTATTGCATTTTTATTACTGGTATATTTGGGTTGTAAATACGAATGAAATGAGGACTTAATTGAATTGGGTCCTAAATTAACTTGGGTCTTAAATATGAAAAGTTCTTGGTCGAACCGTTGTTATCGGAGGCTTTACTGTACCACAGATTCTAGATTGTGGAGCTCTTCACGGTCTTAAATCCTCCTAGCCTCAAAGAAATTCCAAAATCTAGAGAGGGATGGAAGACATAAGTCCAGATCACTTCAAGATGTCAAGCACTACAATACTAGAGGATCACAGTTTAAAGCTCACCAAGTTGTCGTGCACAACAAATACAGAGATACCTTAACACTGCTTTCTTTATTGTTGTTTGGTTTTAATGTTCTCTCTCATCAGAATTTTTTTATTAAAAAATAAAATTTCAAGTGGTTCAAAACTCCTATGCAAGAACAAACAACAATTATCAGTAGTCTTCTTTTCTCTAAACTGTGTGCTCAGCCAATAAGCACCTTAATTTACTATTTTTTAACCTCATGCCTTGGTAATTCTATTTTCTTTATTTGACTATAATTTTGAGGGCACAATTGACCCATATCTGGGAATAGGCCTGCAAGTAATAGAGTTGGTAATGTGACCTTACAGTCAAGGAAAAACATTAGTTTGAAAGTGAAAATGCAGGTTATAGCATATGGAAGCCAGTGCACTGTCTTACACTGCTCTAACTGAATGCATGGTAAAAACAAAACTGTAACTTACTGTATTGTTAGAGTAGCTAGAGACTGTAGGCATTTTGTTACAACAAGAAATCACACGTTAAATTATATTTGATGGCGTGAAAATACGTCGGTAAACCTACAGGCTTAATGTGGTGGGCACTACCCATTGATCACAGAATTAACAGTTAAATGTTTAAATCAGATAGATGCAATCTCAATATCATACCAAAGAGGAAAAAAGACCAATCTACTGATCCTTTCCATTCCTATGCTTTGATTGCTCATACAATAACAAATAATTTTTGTATACGGTATACTATCCCTATACTGTACAGTATTTCCAGTTGACTAAAATCCTTCTGTAAAATTTAATAGATAGTGCCCCTTCCTTAACCATTAAGAACAGTCAATACTTATATCACATGATGCACGGTAACTCAAGGAGCTGTGGATATAGACACTAGAAGAAGGAATAAATAAAGAGAATCTTGACTGGGAAACATTTTGATTAAAGATGTGTGATTTTTAATGAGTACCTGTACTGTATTATACTGTACAGTATACTCATACATCACAACCTCCATGAATATGACTCCAAGTTATCTAAAAATAATTAAAAGCCATTATTTATTTTAAGAGTGGCCATTAGCAAATCTAAGAGCAATTCAGACTAAGATGTGTTCTGTACATGACAAGAGTACTACCTGTAATTAATTACTATACAGTACCTGAAACCGAGGCAACACAGCCAGAAAGATGGGGCGACCAGGCACACTGGTACACATTTGCTTCATGGCCTGTCATCGTCACTATTGACTTTCTTCTATTTGGATCCCACTGAAAATTAAAATTACACTTACTAGGATTCAATATATTAAGATATAAAGTAAAATATCTTAAGTTATCAATGTTAACTTTCAGCAGGAGAATGTTTTTCTATTTACATATCTCCCCTACCTTAACTCTACCTACTCTAATGGTTGTAAGTCACACTTATAAACTTACCACAATGACAACCTCCTCAGTAAATAAGTTACCTACTATACTGTACTAGTATTCAAAAGAAAATTATCATTATCAATTACATTACTGTGGACCCTAGACATTTGCTGGGGTTTGGTTCTTCAAATCCCCAATAAAAGCAAAAAACTTAATTTATTGGGAAAAAGGATTTACTGGTAGGTTCCTGGTACTGAATGACTGAACAGAAATTATTTGAACAATGACAACAACAAACACTGTACTGTAAATAATAACAATCTATAGAAAATAATGTATTTTTTACTCATATTCGATGATGATAATGATTTGAGGTGTTTTGTGTGACAGTGACAAGTGTGCAAAATTTATGTTTCAGAAAGTGTGCATCAGAGTTCAAAAAACCTAAATAGCCATCTAGTATGATATACAAAACAATAATATTTTCACCTTTTCCATAGTTCTACAGGTTTCTGTCCCTTAAAAGATTAGCCTTACACACTAGGCTGCAAATTACTACAGTACAGTATTTGGAAAACTCTTTATGAATGAAAAAATGCAATTTATGACAATATATTGCATGATTAGCACCACTTTAACATGCATAATACAGACTGAGTGGGAAAGTGGTCAAATCTGGCCAGAAACTCAATGTTCATGCTGACCCAGATGCAAATGACATTATTATTTTTCCTAGCTGTAATCATCATTAAATTATTAATTTTTTACATTATTAGCTAAAACTACATACAGACTGGCACTAAATGGTTTTCTCAAATGGTGTACATTATGCTAAATTATTTTTGTGAATAGAAAATCTTTAAAAATTCAGATTCATATTTCAGGATATTTTTCATATTTTACACAGTGATTCCCAATTTTTTTCACTCCATTACCCTCTTGAGGAACCTCAGAAATCCCTGTGGACCCCCTAATTTTTCCCCAAAACCACTAAAAATTATAGTGAAAAATAAACAATTCATACCAGCAGATGAACAGAACATATATTTATCATGTCATCCCTTATGAAAGCCAAAAGCATAGCTATAACCATTACCACAGTGATGATGTGATAATAACATTTGAAGTCATCCAGTGAGTGATTTCAAAGCCAAATTGTAAAGAGAGAAGGCAAATTCTACCTTTTTCAAGTCAAAATTAATAATAAAACCTTACTTACTTCAGAAATCCCAGGTTTTATTTGAAATTGACCTACTTTTCATAACCAGCTATGGACCCCAGTTTGGGAACCAGTGTTCTACAGGCACAGTACAGTACATGTATAAAGGAATAAAAGGCTAAGGGATTTTATTCACATTTCACAGGTATAGCTATGTCAGATATCTTTATGCACGTGGGGTTATGTTCCGGGGACTCCACATAAAGTAAAATACCGTATAGTCAGAGACACTCATAAAAATCCCATAAATCGACCCCAAAAATACGATTTGAAAAACTGTACAGGACTATACTGTACTTAAATGCACACTAAATACTAAAAAAATTATCTCTTGTGCAAAATATATGATGTCTATTTTCAAAATACTTGCTGTTTTGCAAGGATTCCAGCAATGCAATTTATATTTTGCTAACTTTAGACTGTGCCATTTTATATCAAGCTTAGTCACTTTTATTAGCCTCCAGAACCTAACCGTATTTCCCCATTGATTACATGTAATTAAATATTGCGATTTAGTATATAGCGAACATCCTTGGACCTTATCTCGCGATATATCCCGACCTTACTGTAGTATACTTCCAAAAATTAAATGTAAATGCTGAATTAAAGTGCATGGCACCACTTAATATATTTGATTTGGGAATTGACATCACCACAGATGACATGCCATTAGGCATCTACATAGATTATACATAAAGAAAACACTAACACTTGAATAACAATAATCCATTAGTATAGAGAGGAATGGTATGGTATAGGCCTATATTGCCAACGTCTGAAAAAAATGCACAACATGAGTAGTAAAGCCAAGTATTTACAGCTGGCTGAACATTGGGAAAATGTTTACACCAAGTTTGGGACTGGTTCCTGACTGAGAGGTTTGAGTCTAGAAAATTGGTTCCCAGGGTTCATACCAGTTTACCTAGTGGCTCATTGGCTTTTGAAGCAATCACTGGGTTGAATCTGAGTTTATTTCATAAATCCTGGTTTTAATAAGTGTGTGGATGTTTATACAGTAATCTACACTAATCTGACAGAAGAGATCCTGCCTGCCTCTGGAATGCAGATCCCCCCTTGGATAAGACATGTTATGGCAGATGGGGCATTCTATGGGAGTCTTGCAGGTTGCTTGTTGAATGACCCACAGGGCATAAAAAATACCAGAAACTTACCAGCTTAAGTGTTGTGTCCCATGACGCAGAGATGAAGAGCTGGTGGTCTCGTGTCTGACTCCAGTCTAAGCTGTAAGCTTCTTTCAAATGCTCCTGGTACACCATCAGAGGAGCCTGTCAACAACACATCATACATCACAAAAAGTAGGGTAGAACAACTACGAGATCCTGTTTATGAAATTAAACACCGGGGCATCGTAAGTCAGACAATTTCTAGATATGGCTAAGACTTAACTTGTTTTGTTTTTAAAAAAATCTTCTCAACTCAGGCCCTAAACAAATACTGTTCTGTAAAAGATCTGCATCACAAGTAACAACAAGTTCAACAATTTATCAAGTTAACTTAATTTAGATGTGGATACATTTCATAGAATAACCAGGCTCATGAAAATAATGGCTGTTGTACACTTCTTAGTTATCCTTCAAAGAATAATTTTCTATTCCAATTTTGTTTCACGTTTCCATAATATAGTCTTGTATAAACATATTTACATACATGTAGTATAGTATTTCATATATTTGTGCAAACAAGGTTCATAAGAACCCACACCATGGTAATGTGCATCCCAGAGTATTAGCAAGTCATGTAATGAACTCTGAGAACCCCCTTAAAACCATGTTCTGCAGGAATATTGACAAAATATCCCAAATGGAAATTGACATGTGAGTCCTATATTCGAAAAGGATGATCACCACTACAAGATTAATTACAGGCCAGTATGTAAATTACTAGTGAGTACATTATTTTTATTATACACTGCAATGATGGGTCACCTAAAAAAGAACAGCCTCATGAAGGAAAGCCAGTATGGGTTTATGCCTAAGTGCTCCTGTTTGACAACTGCTAGATGTGCAGTTACCCCCTTTCGGTCCAAGATTAGGTGGCCTTTTATTTGAGTGCACCTCCCCCAGGATCAATCCCTGTAGAACATGGTCATTACCCTCATCCAGCTAATGATTACCTAATTTAATATGAGGGACTCTCTGTATTATTACTGTTTTGTCACAAACCTGTGGCTTAGTTATATCCCAAAAGTGTAGGCTGCCATCTCCTGATGCTGTTACAATGTTGTGAGGATTTTGCTCACTCCAAGTCAAGTCAAACAAGGCATCTTTCCAGTCAAAGCAACACAACACACTATCACCAGGAAGACCAAGGTCTGCAGTGATTAACTTCCCTCCACCTAAAATAAGACAATTTCATGCATGCCACCTACTAATTAGATAAATTTCCATGCATACAGATCAGCCAAGAAGTCAACCAAGTGTATCTTCTAGATGCCATAGTTAGAATATCACATGTACTGTAGTTAGAAGTATGGAAAACTATATGATTGTGAAATTTTATTAGAAATGATGGTGGGACATGAGCTAAAAACTATGCAATAGTTTTGAAAAGAAAACAACTGAAGCACAGAAAAAATTTGATGGGAAGCAATACCTGTATTTACATTAAGGTGGAACAGAGATTACAGTGGTGTGACCCACTTATAATATATAGGTACTGTACCATAGTATATACAACAAATCATTACCATGACAGTGTACGAGTGATATTGAACTTGTGATCCTGTTACTTTAAATTAATATAGTTATCACTGGACTGTCTCATAATTACTATATCATTTTCTTTAACCCCCAAAACCTTTTGTGTTATTGCATAAATAAATACAGCCACACATGGTCAATTTTGGCATAATTTACACCAAAAGTTTATTGTGGTTCTTGTCATATGTTGATCAAACTTTCTAAGTTTGGTACAAATCTGCAAACCCTTTCTCAAGTTATTAACTAGGAAACATACACAGACAGACAGGACTGAAAACAATACCCTGGTGCTCAGTTGCCTGCAGGGTAATAATGGTCTGTAAAAAATGGATGGTGAGTAAAGTAGAGGTAGCTGAGATACTGTACATTTCTTTTGGTTGGATTAAAGCTACATACTATAAGGTTGTTATGGTATACTCTATTAAAATAATTCACAAATTCACTTTGATGAATCTACTAAAATCAGTTCCTTTACTTTTAAATAAGACACTCACCTGACAGTCCAAAATTTTGTCCTGTTGCAGCAGCAATAAGATTTGGATCAAATGGGGAAAATTTGACACTGTAACCGTGGTGGTTTGGTGTGCGGAGAAAACGAACACGTCCCTTCGACATCTTCAGCCCCTGAAACCACTTACAGGGCGAAATTAGTATGTTTTACAATAAGCCTGTAATAATTGAAGGTTATCTAGAATATTTATTACAGAAAAACTCTAATAAATGATGCACTTTACCAAAAAAATAACGAACTTAAATACATTTAATCTTCATCAAATATCTAGCTTAGTTTGTGCTCACCCTATGATGGTAACAACTAGTGTTGGAGCCGCTCGCCTCAGCCCTGCCTTGGGTAACACATGTTGCCGAGTCTGGTGTTTCATATGCAAAACAAGTCCTCCCCACTACCACACAACACCATACTACTCCTTGTCTCTGTAACTCCACTAACTAGATACTTTATACTGTATACATGGCATGATAATGACTTACAACTTAACATAATATTTGTTTAAGGGTTATCCTACTCATTACTGCTTGCGTTAACATTTGTATTGAATCTTTTCATTTCCACTATGAATGCAGTATTTACTAGGCATACAGTATTTAAGAGTGATTATATTAGTTGAGCTGAATTCCATTGTTATTTTATTTAATTTTTATGTGATCTTCGACTAATTTCAACAACTTACAGATGGGTACAGTACCAGCGCTTTCCATCTGGACAGGTGAGATGAAAATACTTCATCTTTCCTGCATTGACAGGCACTTCAGAAATAGGCAGCAGATGTTCTTTGATTCACACAATGTCCATCAAATGGGCTGGTATGATGTCATTAATTACTATGTAACATCAGAGACGGCCGTCAAAACAGGCTAGTGTGAATCGGGCTTTAAAAGACACACTTAAGACTGACAAATTCTGACATATTTCAGACAAGTATTTTCTAACATACCTTGTACAGTATATGGCCTTTGTCACACCCAAAATTATTCATCACTGAACACTGTCAAGAAAATGGACTACCTGTAGTATGGAAATACGCTATAGTATATCATTTAAAACAGTATTTTTTTAATGTACAGTATAATTTATTTCCTTTACACCCAATGTTTAAGCACATTTTTTCTTTGTTTGTACTTACCCTCGTCTGAACTGTGTACTGTAGTACAGTGAGTTCTGCTATAACGCGTGTTTTGATAACGCGAATTTGCTCTAACGCGATTTATGAATTAGGAACGATATTTGTATAACGCGAACGCTTGTTTGCTATAACGCGATTTTTGCTTACTATTTCTCCAATTTTGTGGTATATTAACTGTGAATATAGTAAAGAAGAATATCAACAAGAAGCGTTCTGGTGATAGAATTCCCGGTGATGATCGTAAAAGAAAGGATATAACACTTGAAGAGAAGCTCGTTTTTATCAACCTCAAAATCACCCTTCTCCCCCATCAAGTAAAGTGTTACATTTACTGTATGATTTCATTATTAGATATGAATGTAACATTTATTTAGACTGTGGTATCCTTTGTGTTAGGCTAACTACTAAATTTTTTCGATTTTGAGTAATCTGCACCTAACCCTATTTTCTCCATAAGCCCTGTCATTTCTATTACGCGATTTTCTATAACACGATATTTTACAAGAACACAATTATCGCGTTATAGCAGAACTACCTGTACTGGTATATAAAATGCTCAAAGCCAAAACTTTTTTATTATTTCATAAAATTGAAAAACCAGAGTACTGTACAAAGATACAGAATCGATTATTGTAGCAACCCATGCCTTTTTTCAGACACAAAAGTAAGTAATTACTGTACTACACTAAAGTGCCTTTCTGAGCAAATCAGTTGACATCAATAATCAAAATCATCATAAACAGTAACTACCAGTATGGAGAGTTCCTTTCCTTTGGGTAAAATGAGGTTAAGTAGTTCAGGAGTGACAAGGCAACTGAGCTTACCACCTATCTTCAACTAGTTTTGTATTAACAATAACTTATGACTAATGTCAAGAAATTACTATTTTCGTAATTTTGTTTTTCTATTATTTTTCTCTATAAATAATGGATATTTATTTATTTTTTTTATTTTCTAATACAAACACTTATACCATACAAACATTTGCCAGCAACTTCTAGTTTCAATATATACCTGTACATCATTAACCTGTACTGTACTGTGTTCACCAGTTATGGAAAAAGTCATCCTGTCAGATCCAGAAAAATTACCATTATTGTATTTTTAGGGGGGGGGGGGGCTTAAATGTTGTATTTTATTGTCAAAAGACCAAAAACTTGCATAATTCTGCATCCTCGGCTTTAAAGTTCCTGCTACACATTGTTATGTATGCACATGTCTGGGATTTTCCCTGGACCTTTTATGCAAGCAAACCAAATATGAAAGAACTTTAATTTTTCTCTTCTCTGCATTTATAAATAGTTTATTTCTTTCCTCTCATTACTAACACACTCATGAAAAACTATGTAATAATTCAAATATAATAAGGTATTACTAATTTATTTTGTCATGACAAATGTTTGTTAATTTTATATCAAGTAAAAAAGATCACGGGACAGAAGCAACACGCCTTGACTGAACATAACAATGCTATAATTTAGTTTTCTTTCAAGAATTGGATTTTATGTTGTTGTTTTTTACCTACTTATATAAATTGTATTTATTTCTATTGATATAACTTCTCAAGTAAATATAGCAGAAATTATTTATGTAAACACTTAAAACGAAATGACAATGGCAACACCTCCAGCCATGCACAATATGATATTTTTTGTAAATTACATACGAAAGATATGTCATAATGCAAAGACACTTGAATAGAAGTTTGTTACCACGTCTAAGCTATTATATAGTGTGGCAGAGGCCATGCAACTGGGTTAGGTCTAACCCGTACAAACGCAGTCTACATGTAAGCGTAGAAATACTAGAAATGCACACATTTATATATAGTGTCAGAAATTTGCTTTAAGAAAAGTCATATCTATAACTGACTCAAATGAATTACCATATAATTATTAGAAATATACTTATGCTCTTTTTTAATAACAGTGAATGTCTCTGGTTATTATATTGAACAATATGAAAATTAGTGTTTGTAGCAGTATGCATCATGCAATTTTTGGTTGCAACTTTCTTATAATTTCTGAATGATGTTCTAATTTTGATGTGGGCCAAATAATCCCTGGACAACCTTAGAACTACTTCAACTACCCCGACCTGTCAGGGCTTCACACGGCTCTGTCCTTCAAACCCTCCTCCTCCACCCCCAGAGGCACCCGGCTGTAAGCTGTCACGGGAGATTTGTAAATAAAGCAGTACAGTATTTTAAAATGGTGATGACGCTCCAGTGAAGATGCCGTCCTGCCATTTGATAATGGTGGTGACACATTAAGGGTTAATTCGCAATAACGTAACCAGCCAAATCCTAACTTAACTGATATACAATCTTTTATTTAGATTAGAAAAGGTAGGTTAGGTATGTTTAGGTAAGTTTGTTTAATTTTTTTGTGGTGGGTAGACATGTTGGCAGATGAGAGAAACATCTAATGGAAGGATTCATATGCTAACAACACTTGAAGTATAAAAATTGTTGGATAAACATTGTAGATGGACATCGATTACTTATAATGAAAAATTATGAGATATATAAAATACCAAATAAAATTAAAAATCCTCTACCTAATTTCCGGTTTTCTCGGCATGAGGGAAATATTTTCTTTAGTACAAAACTAGTTGAAAATAGGAGTTATGTGCAAAATAAAGATAAATATTAGCCTATGCAAAACTTGATACAACCAATCTCTGTGCATAACTTGATACAGCCTGTCTCTATGCACAATTCACTACATTTTATCACCCTACAAAACTCTCAACAGTCAACCACAATATGAACAAAATGTTTGTCCATCCTAGGAAAACAAAATGATGGACCCAGACCGTATAACATTGTTCTTGGAATCGCTGATTGTTGTTCTTTGTCATCTCAACTGTTCTACAACTAGCGGATGCAGAAACTGTATTAAGCAAGTCTGGTGAAACCCGGCAGAAAACATTGCCTTAACCCCTTACCAACGCTGAAGAATAATATCAACGTAACTATTATGATGCAAAATTTTATCTTTCCCTTATAAGTCTTAGCTTTGGCTTATGTAATTTTATGATTGTTACTTATGCAATTTTATGGAAATTACGTGAACAAAATAAAAATTTGTAAGTACTATTATAATTAATTCAATATTTATACGGTGAATAATGAAGTTGAATAAACAGTATAACGAATAACTAAATAAAGATTGTATAAGCCAAAGTCAAAAGCCCGAACTTATTTCCCCCGATGTAAACAACACTGGAATATATATACCGGGACAAAACATGGGGGGGTCGGCGAAGTGGCCAGTAATCCCCAAAACAAGTTTATGGGGAGGATTAATTTTTCAGTTTTTGAATATACAGTTACGTTCTTTTAACTTATCCTTGAGTTTGTTATTCTACTTTAACAAAATATGATAATATAACAATCATGATATTATTTTCTAAGTTTGGACAACAAATAGCAGTATTCTGTTTGTATAACTGTCACTGCACATTACAAAAATGCTGTAATGTATTGTTCCCGGTACTGTACTTACCACCATTATAAATTGTACTGAAAACAATATTTCTTGCAACTTGTTGAGTTTAATATCACGTATCTTACAGGTGTCATATCCTCTCAGTTTTACACTCTATCTCACGCAGTTATTTACTCTAATTTGCATTTATTTTATCCTCTTCGCTACTGAATGGCCTGTTAACCGCTTGGGCTGTCGGTTACTTTGTAGTGGATTTCTCCCCTACAAACGCTGTTTGTCAATGGGTAGCCGACCCCGCGAATTCTCCAGTGTATGCCGCGTGGTCTAGGTCAACCAGCGCCGCCTTACATGACGGAGGTCAACTACTAAGCCACGCCTACCTCCGCTATTTAAGACCTGACCTCGTGGTGACCACCCTCTTTCTACTTACATCAACCATCCAGCAACACCTCCTCCTCCTCCGCCTTCCTGGCGGTCCTCGCTCCCGCCGGCGAGCATGGCGACCCACAAGCTGTCCTCTGAGCACCCTCACCAACCAGCTCTCTCTACTCAACGCTTGTAACCATGCTGCCTACCCAGCACCAAGCTGCATTATACATCCAATACAACATGTATACAGAGAGCACATTGTGAGTTTCCTTTCTCCATCCCATCCTGAGTGAACAGCAAACATCCCATTACCCCACAACTTTATCCTCTGCCAATGATGGTAATCGGTCACCGCCACACGCCATTGTTTCGCACTGGCTCCAGAATGTATCTGTACCTACTACCTGCACTAGTATTGGTTTAATTTGGCCTTGAATGAGGTCACACTCGGTGCCATCACAACGTCCTCTGTTCCAAGAATTGAGAACTTGTAGTGGATTCCTCCCCTACAACCGCGGTGTTGCTGACCAGCCGACCCTCTTTGAATTCCCCAGCGTACGCCTCGTGGCCTAGGTCGGTAACCAGCGCTGCCTAACAAAGCGGAGGTCAACTATCAACCCACGCCTTCCCCCGCTATATAAGACCTCACCCCGCCGTGACTTCCCTCTTTCTACCTACAGCCACCAACAAGCAACGCCTCCTCCTCCGCTCCTGCCTGGTGGCCCTCGCTCCCGCCGGCGACTATGCCGCCCTTCAAGCTGCCTGTCCTCCTCTGAGCACCCTCACCAACAAGCTCTCTCCTACACCACGCTTGGACTCACGCTGCCACCCCCCAGCACCAAGCTGCATTGTACATCCAATACAATATGTATACAGAGCACATTGTGAGTTTCCTTTCTCCAACCCATCCTGAGTGTGAACCAATATCTCATAACCCCACAAACTCTCCAAAAAAATTTGCCGTCAATTTTCTGAATGTGTTGCTTCTTTAACACGACAGTAATGTCCTCTGGGGTGTTTATAGACTTCTATTAAGTCACCCCTTACCCGCCTATAGTATAAGCTAGGGCCTAGGAAACTGTAGACGTTTCAATCTCTTTGGGTAATTGAGGCGCCGTACGTAATTCAGGCGCCAATCTGGTGGCCCCCTGGACATTTTCAATCAACTGACAGTTTCTGGCATATGTCGGGGACCAGACGGGGTGACAGTATACACACTGTTGGCAAGTACTGGACAGGTAGTCGGGTGGCTCCAGAATTCTGAACTCAGTCTATGCATTTTGCTTTATCCTTAAAAAGAAC